CTAATCATGAAAGACCTTGGCAGGTAGGTGTACACATATGCAAGACCATCTTATGATCAGGAGACCTCCTGGGACCCTTAGCATATGAGGTTTCCTCATCTGTTGATGGCCATCCTTGAAGTACTTAGAAAATTATCAATAAGATTCTGATCATCCCAAGAGTTTCTAAAAAAATGTAAAAAAAGAAATTGGAGGCCAATCCTCACCATACGAGATGACCAAAAGGGCTGCCACAGCTATGGCTACCAGTTTACTACTCCCAGTTTCCTGAAGCTCACACAGCCTGCTCGCCATCTGTGAGCACAGATGTGTCCTTAGGGCACTGCCACCCCCGAGGATGAATGTCTGTTAGGCTACTTGATGTCTTTGGAATCTGAGAAGCTTGTGCTCCAAGCCTATGGAGCGATTCCGTTCTCAGAGCAAAAGTTCTGTGCCTTCCTTCTTCTGGAAGAGTAGCTGTGTGGGTCGACTATCACTGGGGCCCCTGGCTCAGCTTGTCCATCCACACTGTCTCCTGTTGGTCCCAGCATGCTTGGTGCTGGGTGGAACTACTTAAGAGTGAGTAGCAGGAAGGACCAGAATGGTAGCTAATGACCAGCAGGAAAGAGCAAGACAGAGAGTATGTGTCGGGGGGTGGGGGGCAGGACAGGAAGCAATTGTTTTCGCCCTACATTCTGGCCAGACTTGGTCCATTTAAAAGCAATGCTAAGCTTGTGGTAGGCCCTTATGGGAGTAGAGCAGTCTAGAGGCATTAGCTCTCAACTGCCCCTCAGAACTCAGTTGTCTCACAAACATTTATGGTAAGTGGTCTGGTGACCCAAGACTGCATGGACAGGATCCTTAAGTTCCATCTGTCACACAAGGCCTCTAGAGAGAGGCAAACTGAATATTGATTGGTTGGCTTGCTGTGGCCTTGGAGCACTCTGAACTCCAAAAGAACTTCCAGGGCTTTCTTTTTCTTTCCCCCAGTGATATTGCAGTCTGTGTGCTGTGGCCTTCCCTGGCCTCATGTTTATACCTCTGGTATTTTCCCTTGCTAAGTAAGATTGTATTTCACAGAAGCAGGTTGTGTAAAATGTATTTCCATTCTGATAAATATATATTTCCATCCTAAACAAGCTGGTGCCTTTCTGCACTAATCTCCATGATGCACAGTAATTGATAAGCCCCGAATATGCGGCATCTTACTCCATTTTATGCCATTCAGTGAGCGGGATGTCCTGATGGACCAATCTCCTCATAAAACCAGACTCCTATTTCCTAAAGGAAATGTTCTGCTTACATTTCTAGAACCTGCTGCAGCTGTTCAGAGTTAGAAAACTCCCTTCCAAGAATCCACGGAGAAGCCCACAGAAACAAGTGTGCTGGCCTTTCAGCCACAGGGTTGGTACCAGAGACCAGACCTAGCAGGGGCCGCAGGGGGCAGGAATCTAGACTCTGGAGCTGCTCTTCCTATGGGCTGGAGCTGGAAATATGTCCCCAGTTCCTCCAGTCCAGAACTTGCTTCTCCCCCTCTCTCCTTTTGCCTTCTCCCCATCCTGTCTTCTCCCTTTGTCCCCATTCCTCTCTCCTTCTCTTTCCCCTCTCCCTGCCTTTCACTGACTTGCCTTCCCTCCTTCTTCCTTTTCTTCTCCCTATCTCTTCTCATTTTTCTTCTCTCCCCCTTCTTTTATCTTTTCTCCCCTCCTTCTTGTTCCCCTGACCCCTCCTGCTTTCCTTCTCTCCTCACCCACCCCTGCTCTTGCCTGACACCTTAATGCCCAGGGTTTGTCACTGCTTGTTTTCAGAGAGCCCAGCCTGCTTCACCCTCTCTCTGTTACACTCTCAGAAGTTCATACAGGAAATAGAGGAATTTCTTTTCTTAGCCACCTTCTGTCTAGAGAAGCCTATCCAACGTTGTGTTGTGTGTTGAGACTTTGTGTTCTAAGGTGGGGAGGGGGGTGGAGGGATGTCACTTGACTTTTTTTGCAACATCTGCTAGATTAAAACAAATACTCTTATACAATTTGATAAAAATGAAAAGATGATATTTTTTGGTATAGGTTTCAAAATTTGACCTCATGTTTTCTAGTAATCAATGAGGAGATACTTGGGGTAAAAAAAAAACAACTATTTTTTTAAGAAACTTTTTATATCTATGCTCACTTAGTAATAGGTTAGCCTTGACATGGGCCAGGCAAACCTATAAAATACCTCATCCAAGTGTCTTTCTAGAGCCCTGGGCTTCAGAGTGTGGTCCCTGAACATCTTCAGCACCTCTGAGAGTTTATGAGAAATACTAGCACTTGAGCTGTCTGGGCTCACTGAATCCCAGCAGCCCCATATTACCAAGCCCTCCAAGGCATTCTAAGGTACTATGGGGTCTGAGAGCCACTCCTTCTGATAGAAGACCACCACCCTGCCTGTGTTAGATGAAAAAGCTTTCCTGAAAAGTTCTGGAAAACACATGGGTGTAGGCCAGACCCCTTAAACCCATGGTCTAAGGATTATCAGTAAATTGGATCAAGACCCCCATGCTACAGTTAGTCTCTGGAATGCCCCCCAGGCTCACGTGCTGTCTCTAGTGTTAGTGGAGCTATAGAGCCTTTAGATGGTGGGCTGGTCTAAATGGGAGGTCTTCAGATCACTTAGACAAGTTGTGGGCACCATCCTTTCTTTTCTTTCTAATCCCCCAGCTCAGAGGAGGACGGTTTGCTCCACCACACACTTCCATCAGGATGTGCTACGCCATTCAGGCCCAGAAGACACCTGCCAAAACCACGGACTAAAATTTCCAAAGTGTAAGTCAAATCACCCTTCGCTCTTTGTGAGCTTCTCATCTTGGGTATTGGCTGTGTGGACGGAAACTCACTGCCCCCACCTCATGGGGATAGGTAACTGTGTGGGGCTTACTGATAGCCACTGCCCAGCTCTGGCATGGGCTTCTTCACCTGTTGTCTTCCTTCTTCATTTACATCATTCTAACTAAAAGCAGACACACAAAAAGCCTGTCATCATCCTTCCACAGAATATTCCGATACCCTTTTGCAGATCACTTTATTCCGGCAATGAGCAGAAGTTCTGAGGACTGGAGACACTATGCAAAGTGTGGGTTGGTAAGCTCTGCAGCGCAGCAAATGTTTAGCATCTGGGTTCGCTCCCCAAAGTATACAAACAGTTGAGGGATTCAGACCCCCCTCACTCCTAAAAGTACCGACGCACTTATTTTAGAAAGTCTTAGCAATATTTCAGAAATATTTAAACACGTTTCTTAACTTGAAAAAAATGAAAAGAAGAAAAGAGTATTAACATGTCTGTGTGTGTGTGTGTGTGTGTGTGTGTGTGTGTGTGTGTGTGTGTGTGTGTGTGTCTTGGAGGGAGGGACAGTTGAGAGAGAAGCACTGACTCAGAAGCAAACAGTGACCTTAGCTGAGAGCAGCTTAAAGGTGTCGAGATCTTAGCAGATAGTAAATGTCAGGAGGGTTAATGAGTCTCCAACAGCTTTCAGGATGAGATTGTAGATGGGAAAGATACAATACAGAAAATCAGGAGTGTTTCCTAAAAGCGGAAAGCATGATCCCGACGGTGAGGTGTTCTAAATGTCTGTGCTGAGAAACACCAGCATTGTTTTGTCCTGTTCTTAGCGCTTTTTGAGTCCACATCCTCATGCACCTGTCTCCTGTTCCACCAGGGGGCGCGCTGGCCCTCCGGATGCGGTTGGCCAGATCGGCCTGGAGTTTGAGGTCCCGTCATTCTCTGTATAAACAAGTTACGTTCAAGTGTTTAGGATATAAATTACGACCATGCCGGCTGCCTTGGAAGGAATGTAAACACAGCACTGTGGTCGGAGCAAACTCTGAGACTGACTTCATAATTTATAGCAGGCCCCCCGAGTAACTAACTCAGAATAAAGGACAAAAAGGGGGCGGGGTGGTGGTGGTGAAGAAAATACTGTATTTATAATGCAAATATAATAATGCAGAAACAAAATGTTTAACCCCGTGCTTAATTTTCTTAAATATAAAAAAGAGGCCTAAGGGTTAGGAATATGGCTAACAGTTTTGAAACTAGATGTTTTATTCAGGAAACCACCTCAGATTGAGAGTCATTGAAATAGTTTTTTTTTTTAAAAAAATACCGCTCTCCTGAGTTACCAATAAGCACTTTGTGGTGGGCTGAAAAGAAAAAGAGTTTCCCACTCAAGAAGCAAAAGCCAAAACAAAAATCCAGCCTTGAGTTGAAGAGAAAATGACTACAACATGATTAAGGGTGAACATGGCTCTCCTCCCAACAAGGGTATTCTGGGTGGGAAATAAATCGTCTGCCTCACTGAACTATTTTCTCATTTTTATCCCTGTGTCCTGCCAGTTCTGTGGGTAGCATTCAGGATTGGGAAACCCAGCAAGAAAGGACACAGATGCTGTGAGATCCTGTGGGAGGGTGCCAGTTTAAAACCCCCATGCTGCAGCCTGCTCTCTCTAGGTTCCTTTGATCTGACTACCACCCAAAGCAAACTGCAGCCTGTATGGGGAGCTGGGGGGGGGGTTCTGAGGCTCTGGGTGGTGGCTCACTGCTCTGCCCTCAAATCTTCCAGCTAGAGGAAGGAGCAAAAGGGCAGAACTCTTGGGCACAGGAAAAGAAACAAAGGGGGCACAAAACTTGGCTTCCTCAGATCAAACCCTTGGCTTTCAATATCTTGCCAGCTTTTGTTGTTTTGTTTGTTTTGCTTTTTTTTTTTTTTTGGTGTGTGTGTGTGTGTGTGTGTGTGTGTGTGTGTGTTGAAATTTCTTTCACCTTCTGGTTTTTGTTTGGCTAGAAAAAGTAAGAGTAAAGTAGAGAAAGAAATGACAACAGTGTCTTCTCCCTGAGGAGACCCACAATCAGGATGGGCCTGGCTTACTCAAAGCAGAGACCTCACATCTTGTCAGTTATACAACTGGGGGGTGGGCAGTGTAGAATTGCAAGGCTGCTTGGGGGTGTGGCCATGACAGGGTAACTGCAGAGGAAAGGGTCCCTAAAGCAACCGTTTGTTATACACATTTTATTGAAAAAAAAAATCTTACATCAAAATATTTTGGCAAACTTTAAAAGTATACATAAGTGCAAATATACCCTCCTTTTAAAATACAAGCGAAGTGTGAGTATACGAAGATCATAAAAATACTTTAAAAATATGGTGGTAGAAAAACAACCTTGTAAAAATGTTGTATTGTCACAATACTGAGAGCCATTTTCCTTAAACTAGGCTCATCGGTTCTTCATTTCTTCACAATGTTCTTTGGCACCTGTATTCGAAGGTAGTGTTGGGGGTGGGGGTGGGCAGAATCTCCTACTGGACCAGGCAACTAAGCAAGGCTTTCTTGAAATACTGTGCTTTTAGCACTGCCTATTTGAAAAGCGCACACATGCACATACAACACACACACACACACACACACACACACACACACACACACACACACCACACACCTTTCCAGACCCTGATCAGTGAATGCAATGACCACCTAGAACTGAGAGTTTATGTACACGTAGTAACACTTTACCGTCACCTCTTCTCTCTGTCCCTCCTCTGGGATTTTGCCATGCCAACAGTTTCCTCTTCCACGGGTGGGCAAATATCGGGGAGGGAGCAGGGCTCCCTTGGGCAGATAAGTGATGGGTGTGCTACTTACTGCTATCCTTGTGCACAGTATGTGAGTCCTGTCGCAGTCCCTAGCTGCCCCTCTCGGAGGGGAGAGGAGGAAAGGGCAGAAGAGGGGGAGCAGCCTTCAAGGCCTCTGTTCATTCACATAACACAGGGCTTAATATCCTGGCACATGCTCTGGTGGTGATGGTGATAATAAGAGCCGCTAGCGGAGGGGTGGAAAGAAGAAATGCCATTGAAATTGAGGACGAAATCTTTTCTGTCACACACTGGAGTGGAGTGATGCTGATAACGAGGCAGTCCCACTGGAAGAAGAAAGGAGAAAAACAAATCTTTTCAGCGACAGTCACCCCGATGACGGTGGGGTATATTACTTTTAAAATTTCAATTTAATTTGTGGTATTTTGACTGAGGATGCAAAAGCAGCTAGTGGCCTTTGAATGTGCGGCTATAAAACCGGTAGGAAAGGGAAAACAAAACAAAACAAACAACAAACAAAAACTCCAGCTCTCAGAGCACTCTGAAGTCCCAAGACCTTTGCCCTGCTAAGGTTTTAAGTACTCCTTGAGAGGTAATCTGTTCTTAAATTCCCACTTCTCTTTTCTCTTTCTTGGGCTCCGAGATCTCTCTGCCAGGCCTGGATGCAGCCTGCGCAGGGCACAAACACCCTGCCAACACCTCTGCACCCTTCACCTCTGCTCTTGTGCCTTGTTTTCTGTCTCGGCTCAAGATGCTGGAAGCCCACACGGTCCACAGAGGATGACAGAGACAATAAATACCCTGGAGGAGAGGGCATGGGATGGGGGGGGGGGAGCAGCCCACTTCCCACCCTCAGGCAGCAGGCATCTCTGTAGGTCCCGAACTCCTTAGGCCTTGCCTTTACAAGCCAGTTTAGGGAACCCAGGAGTGCTCTTTGGCCGGGACATCTAGCTGCGCACTGAGTCCCCTGGGGAACTAGCAGCGGATCTTGGGGATGGCCTACGTCCTGCAGCTCAGGGCTTGAGCCTACCCTTTTCAACTCCAACCTGCAGCCCACTTTTGCTTTTGCTTTCTCGGCCCCGGGGGTCAGTGGGCTCGGGGCTCCAGTGCGCACCTCCGCCGCGTGGGTAGGCATTTGCGAGGCCTTCCTCGCGCACCCGGCTGATGTGATCTGCACCAGCCTCAAGCCTGTGTCACCCTCAACGCGGTTGTAAGCAGAAGAAAAGCGTAACATGCTTCCGGCGATGCGTGAGCCCTACAGCTGGCACCCACCCGGCTAGAGATCAGGCCGCTCAGCGGCGGGGGGGGCTGGGTTTCGGTGACTATGGGGGAACCGCTCAGAGCTGCTCCGCTCTGGAGTAGCGGTCCAGGTGCACGCGAGGGACGATTGGGTCTTGCGCCGCCACCGCGGCGGCCGCCAGCGAGGACCGGAACTCGGGCCTCAACCCCAGGCCGCTGCTGGCTCTCTTGATGGGCCGCGACGGACCACAGACACCCGACTACTGAGGGCCGCAGGGCTGCGGGATGAGCGCTGACTACTCTCGGCCTTAGCGGGTCACGGTGCCGCCTCTTCCTGGGTCTTGGAAAGTGGAGGGCGTGGAGCGTGCGGGGAAGGAGGGTCGTGCAGTATGCGTGACGATTTGTGCTGGGGACTGCCATTCGCCCCTGCTCCACCACCCTAGTTGGCTGTGCCTGGCCTCACAGGACCTTCTAGTTTCAGTGGGCCGCAGCCGTGTGGGCAGCCCTTGGAACCAGGTCCTGCAGAGTCTCCATTTACAATGCCTGGGCTCTTTGAAACCCTCTATATAAGGTCTTTATTGGAGGTGACAAAATCGAGATAATATTCTAGGAAGAGAGGAGGAGGGCAAATGCCCAGCAAGAAAGGGCAACAGGGCCAGGTCGGCCTAAGCGATTGCTTGCAGTAAAGGCTGGTCACAAAGCACGGGACAAGACATCGGAGGCCTGCCTTCTTGGCTGGACAGTTCTCATTCTGTTCAAGTTAAAGGGTTAAGCCGCTGTATCCGGGAACTTCTGGGGGTTTTGAGCGCGACTTAGAGTGTGTGGCACGCGACATAGACCGAATAGAAAGATCTTTCCTGCACATTTGCTTGTTCGTTTTTTCCTAGAGTATAGATTCCTGACAGCTGGGAAGCCTGGGTACAAGGTAAGCTATGTCTATCCAAAGGGAAAGACAGAGGACAGGGCCAGCAGTAGGCCTAGAGAAGGGGGGAGGGAGGCGTAGGTTCCAGTTCAGTGTGTAGGAGGGAGACTGACAGCCAGCCCGTAGGGCGGGAGGTGGGGGTGGGGTGGGGAATACGAGAGAGGGTCATCTGTATTGGTTACTTGTTGAAATTCCCATAAAATTGAACAAGACTCTGTTCTCTGTGGGTTAAGTCAGTCTAAAATCCTCTCCCGTGTGGTCCTGCCTAGACTGTCTTTGTTTGGTTAACCTCTGAGACCCCCAGTTAAAAGGCTTATTTGGGAAATTTCTCCAAGATCTTTTGCTGTTTCTTGGCTTCCCCATTCCCCCAAGCTCCTGTTGTACATGTAGTCACAAATACGAAGGTATGCATCACCCTGTGAATTTTCTATTTGGAGTGGCAACTGTGTGGGAGACGCACCTTTGGTTTTGCCCTTGACAGACAGGCTCCCAGATTTCAACCTGCACCCAGTGGAAGCCTCGGGGGAATTAATGAGGGTTTTATCTCTATCCTCTAGATAAAGTTAGCTAAACACAAAATTCTCTCCTCTCCTCCCACCCTTCACCACTTTTCACAAGTCAATAAATTTTCATAATCTGCAACCCACACAGCAGAAGCCAGGGGCCTCTAGGCACATTCCTTGGGGGTATCACACCATGGCACCCAAACCCTGATGCTCAGGACAAACTCATGTCCTTAACTATATCGCGCGCGCGTGTGTGTGTGTGTGTGTGTGTGTGTGTGTGTGTGTGTGTGTTCAATGACTTCTTAATACTTGGTTGCCTCTTGCCACTGGCAATGTCCTTGGGACTCTGCTCTGCTTCTCTGTCTCTCTCTCTCTCTCTGTCTCTCTCTCTCTCTCTCTCTCTCTCTCCCTGACATTTCCTTTCATTACTTGGTCAGGTAAGGACCCTCTTCCTCACTTGCTCTGTCATGTGCTTTTGGAACTAAAGTAGGGCAAAGTGAACTTTGAAAAGAGTGGGGAGAACAAAATGAACCAAACACAGTTCCTCCATCCACCAAGGTCTCAAAAAGTCACATGCCTTCTTTCAGAGCCGAGTCTGGCCTAATTGGGACAAGTCTGCAGTGTCCTGATGCAGGCCAGGAAGGTTAAGGCTCGGCACCACCCTTCTCCAGACTGAATTCTGGAGCCTACCATGACTCCAAAGAAGGCTGTAAGAGCAAATCTTCTCCTCCTAACCAGGAATAGGGTACTGAATCCCCCCCACACCCTCCAGCATCTTAGTTCCATAGAACCCAGCTAGGGGACGGAAGGCGCAGTAGCCCTGGCCCTCAGGCTTTGGCTGCAGCGGGCCTGGGAACTGGGTTTTACCTGAGAGATCCTCGCGGGCATTCTGGTGCAAGTAGCTCTGCTCCAGCGAGTAGGACGACATGCTGGGGTGCAGGCCAGCAGAGGCTGCAGGGTTACTGCTTGGCGTCAGGGCAGGCTGCTTGAGGTAAGGTGAGGCGCCAGGCGAACTCCAATGTGCCGCAGGGCTAGTATAGGGCGAGTGACATTCGATTGCGCTCGCCATGGCCGGGGATGAGGGCACTGGGCTGCTGCTGCTGTCCGGCCCATAGTCACCACCGCCACCGCTGCTACCCGCTCCCGCACCGACGCCCGCAGCACCTGCGGGCACCGGACAGCTGGCCATATAAGTGGAGCCCGGGTTGGGCGACATGTGGGGGACGTGGTGGTGGTGGAGGTGGTGTGGATGCGCATGGCCGGGAGCACCGGCGCCTGCATCATAGCCTGCGGGCATCATGTCGAGGCCACCATAACCACCCTGGCCATGGCAGCCCAGAGGCGCTGAAGGGGGCGCTTGGAAGTCGAAGCCTTGGGGCAGCAGCGAGGCCCCGAAGCCCAAGCCGCTCACCACGCGATGGTACATGGGCTTGAGCGCCTGGCACTTCCGCCTGAAGCCGCGCGGCCGCCGGCGGAACGAGCCCTCCTCGAACATGAACTCACTGGCAGGGTCGATGGTCCAGTAGTGGCCCTTGCCCGGTCGCCCGATTCCCTTGGGTAGCTTGATGAAGCACTCGTTGAGCGAGAGGTTGTGGCGCACAGAGTTCTTCCAGCCCTGGTAAGCGCCGCGGAAGAAGGGGAAGCGTGCTTGCAGGGACTGGTAGATCTCGCTGAGCGTCAGGCGCTTGCTGGGCGAGCTCTGGATGGCCATTACTATGAGAGCGATGTACGAATAGGGCGGCTTCTCCGGCCGCCGC